CATGTCTGTGGGGTCTTTCTAAGAAGACCACTGGACATGTATCTTCCTCCCCATGTATCCCAGGTTGTTCATCAGGACTGTGGGTGCCATAACACACCAAGGAACATGGCTACCCAAACCCGGGTGCTATAAAGGAGAATTCCCCAATTCTACTTAGGTAGGTACACCTACTCAGGCAAATATTTCTTGAAGAAGTTCCTTCTCTTCTTCATTAAAGCCTTGTGTGAGAAATCACTCAATGGGCAAGGATATCCAAAAGGTGTTTACATAGAAATCATAAAGGATTCTTCGGTCCAAACTAGGTTAGTGTATTTTCCCTAGTCTGACCATTGCCAAGACTAGTTTCATCCAACCATGAAAAAGAACAGATTTTGAGAAATTTCAAGGCATAAAATAGTAGCTAAGAGAAAGGTTTAAATGTAACACTGACCTGAGTTTGAGTGATGGATCCATCCATTCTTAGCTGCGTGACTCTGAGTAAATTATTTAACCTCTCCGATCCTTACTTTTCTCCACTGTTGGAATAAGTGGAAAGCCAGGAGTTGACACTACATCAGTCTTCAAAGCCTGTTCTCTTAACCACCAGACTGGGCTGCTCCAGACAGTTTAAACAGCACCTTGCATGTGGGAACTCACTACGTCTCTACAGGCTGATTGACTTACCTTGAGGAGTACCTTTTTCAGTCAAAAGCCATGATAGCTAAAACTAAACACCAAGGCTCAAGAGCAACAGTGTTCTTCATTAAGTTTTACGCATGCACAAGCTCCATGGTTGGGTCTGACATAGGAGCATCCTTTTCAAATAGTCTGATAAATCTGTTTCGTTCACAGCCCAGAAAACCACACTTCAATGCAGAAGCTACATTTCAGGTTAACCAATTGTCTCAAAATCAAATGTGCCTCCAAAGCAAGAATGTCCACTGTTTTGAAAGCTGAGATACAAAGTTTTAGTTGAGATATATGAAATTTTCACTGGCAAATTAGGTAACCTTTTATAGTCTCCTTTGAGGGTAATAAGGGCTTTTAAGGAAAATCCCAAAGTGAAATAAACATTGCTATTGTTCAAAATAGGGTGGGGAGGACATTGAGGAAGCAGGGCCCATGCACTTGTTTCAATTCTCCAGAACGGCCATGAACTTGTGCCCTCATCAGTTGCAACTTGTCAATTGCAACCAGACCACCTCCTGGAACACATCCTTCTACTTTGGACTGAAATCCAATGTAACACCTGTTAGCTAAATAGCCAACCCTATAATCGACAGTTTAACTCCGTCCGGGCCAATCATAATTCTTTCAGAACAAGTTCTGTGACCTTGTGGGTCTTGCTTTTATAAACCTGTACTCTCTGCTTGTAATTTGAGCACTATGTTCTTTTTCCATGGGCACTGGGCCTCCTGGATTGAAATCCTTAAGACACCCCCTACCCCCCAAAGAAAACACTTATGCTTGCTTTTATAGCCTCTTCTTTTTGGTCCCCAGGTCCACGAACTTAAAAGTCTTACATTGGAAATTGCTGTTACTTTGGGATATTGTAGCATTTTGCAACACTTCTGAAAGCAGGTTTAGATTATCTGGCTTAGAGTTGTCAGAGAAGTACCATGAAGAGAATGGAAGTATGACAATCTCGAGATGGCAGGCCTTGAGTGAAAACATTCAAATTCAAAACATTTTAAAATTACACGTAGCCAAACAAAGCACAACTGAAAGTCTCATATGGCCCTTGCATCACAATTTGCAAACTCACTTAAGAGGACAGGAGATACCAGCGCCCCCTCCAACACCCTGCAGGATTATCCAAGATACTCTGCCAGGACTGATGCTGAGGCTGCCTCTGGGAGTCAGGCTTCACAGCTTTCTAGGTCAAGTCAGCCTTCCACTCGCTGGCTTCTACATAGAAAACCATGCTCTACTCTACAGAGCCAGGACCTAACCTGACTGTTCTCCTACCATGAGGCCAGTCTCTGTACTCACTATTCACATGGCATGCCATCCCACATGCACTCTCACCCCCACCGTCTGCTTATCTTTGTTCCATGACTTCAAGTGGCTTTGCCTCCCGCTAGGCCATGCCAAATTGAATCCATCTTTAATTCTGTTCATTTGTGTTTTGATTTTTTTTTTTTTAATCCACACAAAGAGCACAGGAATGGGATGACTTTTGCGCCTTGGTAGGAGTGTGGGAAGGCTTCATAGAGACATGATCAGTGTGCAGGGTTTAGAAGGAAGAAGAGATGGCTGCCAAGGGGAAAAGAGCATTCTAGGTAGAGGGAACAGCACATGCAAAGTCTCGAGAGAGTCCAGAAAGGCCACAGCAGTCTTGCAGGGATGTGAGGCTGGAGAAGCTGGCTGTAGTCAAAAGGATAAGACCCCTGTTTGCCTCACTGAAGTAAGAGAACTTGATCCTTGGAGACCAAAGGAAACCAAAGTACCTGATTTGGGTCAAGGTCCCTAGTCAAGCCTATGGCATCCGTGGAGTTGGCTCTTGCCACGCCAGTCATTCCTTCCTTAGAATTCCTACGTCCCTTACTGTGCATATTACTTATAACTCTCGCCGATATTTCAGTCTGTGTTTCCACTGACTAGAGAGAACCAGAGGGCAGGGGCCTTTTATTTTTTTAATTTTTCTCTCCTAAGAGTACCTATGAGTGCTGAGCAAGCAAATGATCAATAATTTCCCAGGACTGGCGGATGCATAGTCGTCCGGGGCAATGGCTTCAGCAAACTAAGTTCCAGAGATAAGAGTAGGGAAATCTCCAAATTAAAGTCACTACAGCCCTTACTACTGGCCATGAGTGACAGAATCCAAGATCACAAAACTTAACTTGGAGGAGAGCAACTACACTCTTGAGTCTACCCTCCATGAACTTGGACTATACCTTTCTGCCAAGTTCTCCTCCCCCACCCAAGCTGATGCTGACTCTATTCCCCCGGGTCTGAACATGCCCCCAGTGACTGGGGGGAGGCGGCGGCAAGGACACAATCAATGCATTTAGGAAATGCATCTGGCCCTGAAGGGAGAGTGTCTGTTCCTGTATGTAAATGCCAAGTTGCAGGAGGTTACCATAGCAACTCCAGCAGGGCGCTGCAGTGGGCAGCTCTGCACAGAGGTGCAGAAACCCCATTCTTTAACATCTGGTCTTTCGCTGTGCACACTGGATCCTAGCAGGCGCATCACGGCTTCAGGCCCCAGCTTTGGGATGCTGCAAAAAACGAAGTGGGGTTTTGAAGACCTGCTAGTCCAATTTCCCTTTTTCTCATGCACCACACACAGCCCTCCTCGTGCATGGTAAACACCGCGTGTAGAGCCCCAAACAGGCTCTTTAGAAACACATAATTCCCTATACCCGTTCTTGTATATTACGACGAACAGATTGCACTTGCACATCAGCATGACTTCCACACAAAATTTACATCCACTGAATAACCCTGCAATTGTACATTTTAATGAGAGGCATATCCACAGTGTCCCCATTCCCAGCCAGCTCCCGGTTTTTATTACGGTATTGGTTATGTTTCTAATGCAAAAATAAGTAATGCCATCAAGTGTGTAGGCTGCACTTAACGGGGTCAACTGAGCCGCACTCCAGGAACTGCAAACCAACTTTTTGAAGGACCAGGCAATTTTTGAAATAGCTTTTCCATAGGGATTGGAAAGTAGGAGTTTACTCACCCACATCTTAATGTTTGCAATGGGAAGAGATCTCTTGTGGATAAAGAGCACCAGGGAGGTGTTAGAGGACATTGCATATGTGGCTCTAACCTACGTATGGCCATCAGGAAGCCGTGTTCCTACAAAGTGAATTCCAGTTGGTAGTACATGGGACATCTGCCTCCTGGACAGTTACGTTGTTTGTCAGTTTTTGGATGTAGAGAGTAACTATGAATTGGGTTATCTTTGAATTCTCTCATGGCAAAATAAGGATGATTTACAACATCACTAAAGAAATGGATTGCGTGGTAGGCTTGCACAGGAGGGAGAGAGATACCTATGCACCAGGAAAAGTGAGAGACATTTTGGTTAACAAAGTCACATGAACCTGTCCTGCTTTGCAAGGTGCTAGAGCAAAACCACAATATCTTTGCCGACTGGCAGTGAGAGAGGTGGATCAGAAGGTTCCAGGATCTGAAGGAGTTTTGTGGCCTAAGAAAATTAATAGAGGGGTACCGAAAGAGAGAGAAATGTAAACAAATAAAGGAAGGGAGGGGGAGTCTCTTAGCCAGGAAGACCATTCTGTGTGCAGGAAAGCCTTTGCCCACCTTAGGTAGTGTTGGGAACAAAGGAGATACGGACATGAACAGACTACAGTTGGATGATTTCTTTATCCAAGGCATTGTGGTGTGACCCAGGCATGTGGACGTGGCTGGACGAGGACACTGTTGCATATAAGTGTGAAGGTAGGCTGGACACCAAGAGGAGAGAAAACTTGAGTGTTGTGCAGGAAGGCCAGAGAGAGTGCCAGTCCCCGGCGAGAGATACAGGGCCCTCTCCCAAGAGTGCAGGCTGGAGATCCAGCCGGTGCGGTGTGGCCTGCACATGCCTGCCACGGGGCCGGCATACCTGTTTCTAACTCCCCCAGGAAACGCTGAGCGAGTGGGTGTCCGGGGGGTGTGAAGCAAAGAACGGAGCATGTGGCCAGGCAGTGGGGAGAGGGCTTACGAGAGTTGGGCCGGTCGCAGACAAGTGCTCTGTCAATGTGCTTCTGAAGGAAAGCGGAGAGGTCAAGGCCAGGAAAGGTTTCAGAGAGACTCCTGCAACCTGCTCCTGTGGGGCAGCGCGGGCGGCTGGGAGGTCGAGGGCCCAGCATCCATTTCGGATTAGGGGAGAAGTCGGGGGCACAGAGGCGCCCGCGGGCAGGTGGGTGTGGAGGGCGGGCTGGGCGTGGGGCGGATCCAGGGAGGTAGGAGTGGGGGAGGGGAGGTCGGCGGCGAGTGGGTGTGTGGAGCGAGCCGAGGTGGGGGGGTAGGGGCGGCGGGCCGCCTCGACCTCCCCTAGGACTCACCCAGCACGAAGTAGGGCAGCTCCGTGTTTTCCAGGTCGTCCACCACGACCATCTCTCCGGGGAAGTCGTTGCGCACCGAGAAGAGGAGCTTGGGTTCGGAGGCCGAGGGGCTGTGCATGATGCTCAGGTCGTTCTCGCGCAGGAAGGGCAGCGCCGACACCGTGATGCTCTTGAGCTTGCACTCCAGCTCCTTGGATGGGTCTACGTCGCCGGCGGCCGTGGCCATCACCGCCGCCGGCCCCCAGCAGCAGGCGAGCAGGGCGCAGAGCCCGGCTAAAGCCATCTTGAGCCCCGGCCGCCTTCCTCCGGCGCCGCGAAGGTGGGGGAGGTGGCGAGCGGGAGGGAGCGAGCGAGCGCGGGAGGCGGGGGCGGCTGCGGAGGGACGTGGAGCCGGGAGAGCCCCGCTCGGAGGAGCCAGACGCCGCGCGCACTGCGCGGGGCTTGCGCGCTGCTTCCCGGAGCGCCCGCGTTCTTTGTTCCTCGCAGCTGCTTCGCTGGGGAAGGGAAGGGGGGGAAGGAGAGAAGGAAAGGAAGGACGTCGGAGGAGAGAGGAAGAGAGCTGAGGATTCTAGGGAATCAGGTCAGCCCCCAGCAGGCTGCCTGTGCTGCTGCCTTTCTCCTCCTTTGCCTCCCCCGGCAGGAGCACGCTTTTGGCTAGGAACTACCTGCACAGCATTTTTAAAAAATCGGTCTTTGCAATGCAAAACCTTCCCTCTCGCATCATCATCCAGATGGCTTGGGAAGGGCATATAGGCGCACACACCTTAAAAGGCGCTTCCTGAGGACAGGTGTGTGTGGGGGGGGTCTCTCTAGATGCAAATGAGCCCCCCATGATTTTGTGGATTAGGTGGTCCCGTTCTTGTCTTTTTTACCCACTAGTTTTGCATACGTGTGTTGGATAAACGGGTGCTGAGAAAAATGGATGTATGTATTTTTACTCAGCACTAACTTTGCAGAAATATTTAGAGGAAATATTTGGCTTGTAGATAGATCAAGAGGTAGATATGAACTGCAAACAAAACCAGTGTACGGTGGGCGGTGGGCGGTGAAGCAGGAGATCAGAAGTTTTATTGGCAACTTTTTTTCTGCTCTTTGTTTCATTTCTGTTACAAATGTTATCAAAGGTAACCGATATAAAGATGATGTGGGGAATGCTATAATTGATAGAAAAGGTAAAACTAGCTGGAAGAAATAGTGAGCCTTTGATTTTAGAGAATCCACTAAATATAACAGAGATGGGAGAAAATGTGGAAAGGGAATGAAAATAAACAAAAAAACCTGAAGTGTCTAAGCACCCCTAATAAACTGGAAAGGAGTAAAAGAGTAACCTTGGATACTGGCCAAGTCAGTCCCAGCCCCATCATAAGTAGATCAGTGTAGACAGTAACAATAACCCATGTAAATTTTGTTTCCACTAGAGCTGGGCAGTGTTGCGTTAACAAAACAATGACAATGTGCAATAAACCATAGCAGAAAAGTGGTTTGTGTGTGCTGGAATCTGATGTTTTACTGAACTTTCTCTCTTATGATTACCAATAATTTATTAAAAAGTTTGCCCTTCCAACATCATTTATTGAATGCTGAATTAAATACCAAGTGCTATCTCATATAGGTAGTTCCTACTCTCTAAGAATTTAATGCGCCACACTTTCCAAAGAGGACCCCCCACCCCATTTTAGAAAAAATTTCTTTCTCATGGCACCTGGTGTTAATTTATTGGCATATGTGAACAGATGTCCTTTAAAAGAAAAAAAGTGCTTTTGCACTTTTCACCTATATTTCACAAGGTTACTCTAGTTGATAGATGGAGATAGAGAAAATGAGCCATGTTTAAGGAGTGGAAGACCTGTTTAATATGAAAAAGAGAACAAAAAATGCTTCTACAAGTTGTCTTTTGAATCTGGTGTACCTGAGAACTAACCCAAAGGTAGATTATCATGGAGCATTGCAAACCACTGCAAAAAAAAAATTTTTTTTTTATAGCTGATGACCTTCCTAAAACGCATTCTTATTTCCATTACTCCCCTAGGAGGTACTGAAGGAGAGAAAGACCCCAGGGAAATTTTTTTCCTACTCTCCCTAGCATAAAAGGCAGTATTAAACTTTTTATGTAAAGTTTACCATCGAAAGATTAGAATAGATGCCAGGAAAACACACTTATAGAATGCGAGAAAAATGGCACATGACTACTAGATTATCTATTAGCCCAATCTCTCGTTTTACAGATGCTGAAATTAAGGCCAGTGAAAGAGTGAGGTGATTTACCCAAGATCAATAAGCTAAGACCTAAACAAGGTTTCTTTGACTAATGCTCTTTCCACTACACAGTTACGGCCCATTTAGGTGCACCCGTGGATTATCATCAGAATTTATGGATCACAGTCATTCATTTGGTAAACATTTGGGTACCGACCATATGCTGGACATTAGCCTAGGCATGGACAGGAAAAATTCTCCTGCTTTTGAGTAGCATATAATCTGCAATTACTTTGAAATCCTTAATTTTCTGAAGTGTTGAATCATTTTAGAAAACTGAAGTGAACAATTTGGGATTGGTTTTCTTTTTTTAATTTATTTGAGAGAAAGAATGTATATGAGAGAGAGAGCACAAGCAGGGAGAGCTGCAGAGGGAGAGGGAGAAGCAGGATCCCCACCCGAGCAGGGAACCAAACACAGGGCTTGATCCCAGGACCTCGAGACCATAACCGGAGCCAAAGGCAGACGCCCAACAGACTGAACCACCCAGGTGCCCCAGGGTTGATTTTCTCATAAGTCAATATCTAGCCTTCTTTGCCTATCTATGGTCATTTTTACATGCTTTCTTATTCAGATTTAAAAGGAAACATGCATAGATTAAATGGTCATTGAAGAATGTATATTGATTTGGAAATAGTCGGATGTTGTTGACTCAAGACTTTATAGACCTCTTTCTCTATAGGAAGATGAGACAAAGGACTGTACAAATAAAAAGAGGTCCTATGTTGCCACAGAATTCCTGTAAACACAAATATAATGTCACAGGGCCTCCTTTTAGAGAATTAAATACCTAGAGGTGGGGGAAAGGTTGAAGTTCACAGATGCTAGAACATCTGTACTGTGTGATGTTTTACATTTAAATGAACTGGGAAAAAATTGTAAGCATCTCAATCATTACCTTTGTGTATAGGCAACATGATATAGTTGCAAATTACAGGTTTGGTTCCGAGTCTCAACTTACTTTGCTTATTGGGAAGTGAGATTGGACTTTTTTTTTTTTTTTTTTTTTTAAGAGAGAACGAGAGCACACACACATGTGCAGGAAAGGGGGTGGGAGGAGAGGGAGTGGGAGAATCTTAAGCAGGCTCCACACCCAGCTCAGAGCCCCACACAGGGCTCAATCTCAAGACCCTGAGATCATGACCTGGGCCAAAATCAAGAATCAGACTCTTAATCGACTAAGCCACCCAGGCACCTGGAGATTAGACCACTCTTATCTTCAGTATCCCTATCAGTGGAGTGGAGTCTGTGATCTCTGCCCACCCCACAGGCCACACATAGGTGCAAGTACTTATATTCGCTGAGATGCTGTCAAAGAGCATGTTCTCTTATCTCTGATCTCTATCCCCTTCCCCTGAAGACACACATATACACACCAATCAAATTAAAACCCATTTTCCATTTCCAGTCCTCCCATGCCATTCTGTCCACCTGTGAGGCACTGCTCTGTGTTCCCCAGGTGGGAAACAGACCAATCTCCAGCCTCATCTACAGGGTGGGTCCTTCTAGCACATCCTTGTCTCATCGCCCCCTCATGGAGCACTAACACACACGCATGCTCCACCTTACAAGGCCAAGAGCCACTTCCTGCCACCATGTCTTGTATTTGAGATTCTTAATTTGAAAAATAGAAACCATTATAACATAGAGTAGTTGTCAGAAGAAAATGAGACTATGGAAAAGATCGGACACATTGAGTTGGTGTTACCTAATGATAGCCTTTAACATTATCCCTTTATTCAATTATTTCAGCTAGAAAGTGGGCTTCAGAATCTCCTTCATGAGATTGTTCTCCTTGTAGTAGCCAGAAGCAAATTAAGAGATTTACGCTGCTTGGTGTATACCAAGGATAAATGATTGCATGTGTTCTCCAAAAGCAATATACAAGAACATTCATAGCAGGTGTATTTTGAATAGACAAAAAAGAAGAAGAAGAAGAAAGAAGGAGGAGGGCGGGGGGGAGAGGAGGGGGAGGGGAGAGGGAGGGGTGGGAGGAGGAGGAGGAGGGGGAGGAGGAGAAAGAAAGAAAGAAAGAAAGAAGAGAAGAAAAGAAAAAACCAAAAGCGCATCAGTAGGAAAATAGCTCAATGGTTTATAGTCACGCCCTGGAATATTGCACAATGATAAACATGTAGTGACATGGATGAATCTCACTGATGGAAGGATGAGAAAAATCAAGCAGACACAGAAGCGCGTATATGCTATTCATGAACCTCAAGAACAGGTAACGTTAATCTTTGATGATGGAAGTCAAAATAGCGGCTATCTCTGGAGAGTGGGGAATTTTGACTGAGAAGGCCAGATAAGCTTCTGGGGTTGGGGAGCTGGAAATGATGTGGGTAGTGGTTACATGGAGGCATAGATAGGCAAAAATTCATCAGACTGTACAGTTGTGGAATTTTTAATGTATACGATACCTCATTAATTTTTTTTTAAGATTTTGTTTACTTGACAGACAGAAATCACAAGTAGGCAGAGAGGCAAGCAGAGAGAGGGGTGGGGGAAGCAAGCTCCCTGCAGAGCAGAAAGCTTGATGTCAGGCTTGATCCCAGGACCCTGGGATCATGACCCGAGCCGAAGTCAGAGGCTCCAACCCACTGAGCCACCCAGGCACCCCAATTTTTTAACATGGCTTAGAACTCCATACCTACAGTATGAAGGTCAAGCCTGTATAATAAGATACAGAGGAGGTGAAAGTGACAGATGGGTGGGGCTAAGGGTGTGTATGTGAGTAGTTCTAATTTTTCCCCATTCATTCAGAACATCTGGCTCCTTAATGCTTTTTAGCAAATCCTGATGTATACTACTTGGGTATTCATTAAACCTCTGCTTTCTTTTATTTTTTTTCTACTTTTTTACAAAATAATCTTTGATTTTGCTCTCCATTCAAGAAAGCCAAATCAGCACTTCTCTCCTTTTCTATGTATTTCTTCTCTCCATATTTTCTCCACAACTCAACTTAGTGTGTACTCCCCAAATTCCTTTGCCAGCATCAGCCCCTAGTTCTTCTGTTGATTGGATTTTTCTTCAACTATTACTCTCTTGTGTTCTTGCCCAAATTTAGTGTAGTATGTTAGCTAGATAGATGTAATTCAGTTGTGCATCCTCATTAGGACATCAAGAATATGTTTCACACTCTCTGATCCAAAGTTAAGATTTTTTTCCTTACCCTTTCCTCCCCCGCCCCTCCTCTCAATTCACAGGCTCAGCAACAGCACCTGCTTCACAGAAACAAGGCTGGTCCTGTTCTGATTTCTCTAGTCTTCCTTTAAAAAACAAATGGAGATCAACAGTCCCTCTTCCTGACACACACTGAAGCAAAAAGAGACACACAGAAGGACAGCACCACAGGCAAAACAATTCCCTTTTTTGGAAGCAGGACATTTTTTCCCTTTAATCTCTCCCCAGAAACCCAAAGTTCTTTGCCTTTGCTCTATGCTTTTGTCTTCACAATCCTCATTTTGGGGACAGAACGTTTCTTGATTTAGCTGTTGAGAGTCTCTCTCTCCTCTTACTGAGTTCCTGCTATCTTTTTCTTCTCTCTTGTATCTCTGGTGTGTGTGTTTGGGTGTGTGTGTGTGTGCGCGCGCGCGCGCGCATGCACTCTGATATAAGTATCTCTCACTTGGGGGCTCATTTCTAATTAAGCAACTCAAGACCAAGAGGCTAACATGCACAAAACAACCGAATAAAACCTCAAATTAGAAGGAAAATGGCTCAAATGGGTCCCTATCTCTGGGAGTTCTAGTTAAGCAAGCAAACAAAATGGTCTGGGACAAATGATTATTGTTAACTCAGGAAGATTAGGAGAGAATGTAATTAGCTCCCAGCTTCTTCCTGTTCGTCAGCCTTCTTAACACCCTCTAACTCCCCAACCGTGAATTTATCCGAGGCTTCGTAATCCGCACCAAAAAGTCCCTGCTGCAAAGCCGGGAGGGTTAACAGAGCTGGTACCCCAGCCAGCCAGCTAACCAAAGGAGACAGCCGGTGAGACTCCGAGCCCGCCCCCTGCCAAGACGCCCAGCCAATGGGCACCTGCGGGGAGTGTGGCGCTGTGTCTCATTGGCTGCCAACCTACGTGCATAAGAAAGGAGGAGAGGGGCTGGCAGGGCAGCATTGTTATCTTAAGACACTCATCTGGTGTCTGAGTCTGCAGGTGACGCCGCTTAGGTACGGAGCGCGGAGTCGGAGCAGGGACGCGCCGGGCTGCAGCCCTGGGATGGAAGCCGCCTGCTTCGGAAGCTGCTCGCGGCTGCTCCGGCAGCGCCTCCGCTGAGCTCGGAGGTGCCAGTTAACACTTGCCTGGGGACGTGCACCTGCGGTACGGTGCGAGCTCGGGGGCAGGTCTGCAGGCAGCCGGGAGAGCCGTGGAGCCGGAGGAACTGTCTTCGCCCAAGTGCAAGGCAGTGATTTTGGGAGAGAGACAGACAGAGGGCGGGTGAGTCTCTTCAGAGTTGGAAGGAAAGCAAGATCTTGGGTGTCTTTTCCGTGGAGGGACAGGGGACTTCCCCATCTGGGCTTGGCACTTTCCTTCCCTCTACACCCTCGTGCGCCCCGGCCTGGCGCCGAAGCCCCACTTCAGGCATGCTTTGGGTGACGGGGACCCTGGCTGCTCAGCAGGAAGACAGCAGGCAAGTGGTCTAACGCCGGTGGCGGCGGCGGCGGCGGCGGCGGCAGCAGCAACCCCAGCAGCAAAGCGGGGAGCAAGAGAATTTGAAAAGAGACATCCGCTCCCTCTCACACGCTGAGGGAGAGGCATTCGCGTTTCCCCAAATGAGAAGGAGCCACAAGAGATCATGAAGTAAAAACTTTGGAAAGCTGCCACTGGAGATGTTGCACAAAAACCTGGAATGTTTTAGGAGTCTCCTCCCAGTCGGTGGAGGTTTGGGGAGCAGCTGATACCGCAAGGAGGGCTCTTGCAAGGATTCAAGGTAACAGTGCAGGGTTTGGGTGAGATTTCTCTCCCCCTTTTCGTTATCCTTTGGTGTGTCCCTGGGGAAGGAGATCATTTCGCCCTCCTGCAACCCTCTTGCCCAGGTGCCTGGCAGGGGCAGGCAGAGGGAATGATCCCACGTCTTAGTTTTTGCCTCGGGGAGCTCAGCAGTGGACTTCGGGGTTCAGCGAGAGATCGCCCTGTTATTGCCTCCTGGTGTTGCTCGGCTTGGGCACGTTGCCTGACCTATATTGCTTTTGCCTGGTTTAAGTCCTCAAAGTTAGTGCAACTCCCATTAGCCTCAGAAAATTCAATCCGGCTGGGTAATTGCAGAAGATGACGAGGACTTTTGCCTGCTCGGTGACTGCTGGACTGAACTGTAGGCTGTTGCCCATGTTTGAGAAGGGCCCCCAAGAACTGAGGGTGTGATACATGATACGTTCATATTCACATGGCCATAGAGCTACATTCACATGCTCCTAGAGCTCTGTGGCGTGTCCGTAGAAGCCTGTCTTCTTTCTCCCAGGCACATGCAGCCAAGAGAAAAAAAAAAAAAAAATTCTGAAGAGTGAACCCTGTGGGTTGCACATAGACTCCCCAGGGTGGTGGCAGAGCCCCATTGATCGAGTTGAGCCCGGCAGCACGCTGGAGACCCTGGGGAGAAGGGTGCCGTGCTGGGAGGAGGGGCGTGCTGAGATTCTGTCGCGATCCCTCTCGCTGGTTCTGTGATCTTCTGGGTGCCCAGTCCAGTACCACCCGTGGTACATGTGTGTGTGTTTCTGTGTGTGCCTGGGCTCACAGCTGTATGCAGGAAGCAGGCTGCTGACCAAAAGACCACGCATGTGCAGCTCTTTGCCTAGGCCCCTGGAGTGCTCCTTCTAGCGGGATCGTGAACTTGGGAGCTGGTGGACCAGCCCGGAGGACTTTTCTCCTTACCCAGCAGTCCTTCTGCATGGTACCTATTTATCCAGGGTATATAGACCTAAGCCAAATATTAACTAATAATCAAGCTAATGCACTGTAACATGATTGAACAGACCCCTCTGTAAAGAACCGTGTGTGTGCTCTTCCTAGCCCTGGGAGCCGGGTGCCCTGAGCGGGAACAAATGTTTTCTTAAAACGATGGCAATTATAACGAGCGATGCTTATGGCTGGATAATCTGGGTCTTATTCAGCAGGAATAATGATATGTCAGCGTCGACCAATCAGGAGGATAAAAGGTTTATTATAAGTATTTCTGCCTCTGTCCTTCTTCAGACATGTGCTTGTGGAAGGGACACTTTCTGACCCTGTTCTCTAGAATGCATATAATGGCAGTATTCACCAAGCAGCTAAAGTATTTTACAGAATCCCCTGGGGGGCAGTCTGATGACATCAGGCAAGAACAAAGTGATGCTGGAGTTTGTGTGTTTTCCCTCTTGATTTCACACTGTGTGTGTGTGTGTGTGTGTGTGTGTGTGTGTGTGATTTGTTTAAAGCAGGACCCTCCAGAGTTCCCTCTCACTCATAAGTTGCTTTGCAGCCCTGGGGACATGACCAAGCAAAGCTGTCACAACGATCCTGAAATCTTATCAATATCGTAGCTGCTGCTTACTCTGGGAAAGGATGCATGCTCTGCTTCTTGAGGAGGGATATGATCTGAGTAGGCGCAGAGCACAGATACCATGAAATGTTTGAGGGAAAGGAAGCAAATGTCAGACCCTGGTCTTCCCTGCTGAGGGGCGGCTGGAGCCCAAGGGTTGGACGGCTGGGCAGCAGCCCTGGAGAAGACAGAAGCATCCTTGACTCTTTCTTCTCCCTCCTCTCCAAAAAAAAAAAAAAAAAAATGGGGCCGGCTTTGTCTCCCAGAATGGAGTGATGTGCACTGCAGTGTGGGCACCAGGAAGGAGGAGAAGAAGGAAGGACTGGGGAGGGAGGAGGGATCCTGCTCTGCCAGCACTGGGCCAGGCTCAAGGATGGGGGAAGATCATCCTCTGGGTGTTCTCTTCTGGCCTAGTAACAGGTTGTTTACGGAGCAAGGCCAGAGGGCAGAGAACATCCCTGAGTCATCAACTCCTTCTGATCGCCTTTCCCAAGGCACAGGCTGGCCACCGGGGAGCATCACATAAGAAAGATCCCTTCTGAGACGGTGCTCCAGAATCCCTCCCCAGCTCACAAACAAGAGGTAATCTGGAGGGACTTGAGACAGCTGCGTGGGCACTTTCTGCTGACTGGGATGCTTAGTGCCGAGGTTTCCTGGTTAGTGTTCTGTTTTCCCCACTGTGCAATGCATTTCTGGTGATTCAACTCTTTCCCTTAAATAAGAAGACCTTGTATACATTTTATACAGGCATCCTTTTCCAACGGGCTGAGAGCATTTCAGGGAGCTCATCTAATTAAGCCTCTCACAGCTTATTGTCTCATTTGTCTTTGATTACCCTACGAAGTGGAGCCGGAATGGTTTTAGCCTCCTTCTTGGAAAAGAGAGGGCACAGAACCTTGGAAAGATGAAATGCTGTCTTTGGGGTCCCATGGCGTGGGGTCTGGGGCTCAGCAGTCCTGGACCCACCCCAGACTCCACCAACTTCCAAGAAATGGTTTCATCTTAGTAACTGAAGTTTCATTGAATTGTTCTGTGCTTTACAGGAATGGGAGGTTGCACTGATGTCGGGCTTTTCCTCTGGCCCTGACCTAAGGGCTGTGAAGGCTAAAAGTCTTAGAAGCTCTTACCTTTGCCCTCAGTGATCTTACAGTCTAGTTAGGAAAGGAGACTGACATCTGGGAAAAAGGAATGACAAGATAGTCTCAACAGCAGTTCAATACAAAAGATTCAGGAGGCTGACCTAATTAATCCACAACTGATTCCTTCAGATAAGGAGAGCTATTAGCATTCCAAGGAGGGAGAATTTGAGTTACACCACAGGGGACAGGGTGGGATTTGCTTAGAGAGGAAGAAATGGAGACGGGATTCCCCTGACAGAGATACCAACTGAAGCCTAGTTGACAATGCTGGGAATGTCCAGGCTTGATGTTGCCTTTGGGTTTACCCTGGGTCACTTCTCCACCTAGATCCTGGAAATACCATACACCTGGGTTAATTATTTGAAGCTAGTATCGGCTTAGAGGAAGCTACTCTGGGGCCGTGGATATCTCATTAGGCATTGAAATTCACCTAGCCTCCCACCCACCCTCAAGTCTAATCCATATATTATGAGAAAAATAGTGCTCAAGGTCAGGGAGCTTATCAACATTATATCAAAAATTTTGGATGAAGATATTGGGAGAAAACCAGGCAAGCTTCAAGAGAACATGAGAAAATCTTGTATTTTAGAATCAAAATCTCCTAAGAGGCTTGATTTTTCCTCCGTTTCCAGGTTCCCCACCCAAATGTCCCTGTTGAGGGTTTAGTAGGAACTGGCAAAATGCCAGAGCCCTTAGGCATTTAGCACAGAGCGGGAGATTTTTATTCTTAAGATTCTTGAGCATGCCCATGTACCTAACCTCTTGCCTCCCCTCCTCTTTCCCTTTTAATAAAACATATGCTGTAGCAGTCACAAGGGAGGCCACCAAAAGCAGAGGGTGGGGCGTGGTACCGCCTGCAGCCCTACCACGGGGCACTGTGGCTGCTCCACTGAGCAGGAGAGGAGAGAGGCAGGCTGCCAGCCCGGCCAGCTTCAAGGAAGGGCCGTGGGCTGTAGACCACCAGGAGACGGCTGTGACCGGCCAGCCACACCATTTGCTCCAGCAGGGATCCCTGTCTCCTAGAGAAAAGGTAATAGCAAACCATAGGTTCTGTGAGAGAACAACCACACTATTCACTGGTCTTCACTTGGTTGGAGACCTCTTTCCACCCCACACGTCACTGGTAGCTTGGGTGATCCCATGCCACCATGGAGGCGGTGGCTATCAGGCAGGAGAGTAAAATGACTTGCCTGAAGTCATGCCATACTTGCTCTCAGGTCAAGAGGAACATCCCCAGAAGCCAGTTCGTTTGATTCCTTCGGAGTTCACTCTGGGGACGGTCCTCAGGGATATTTCCTTTCGGTTAAACATCCTCCCTCAGGCCTTCTTTGTTTTCTGTGTTAAAAGATCATGCAGCTGGGCTGAGGGGCTGCCTTTTTATTTTCTGTTCGGAAGTATCCACTGCCATGTCCAGGCCCATGGGCATATGGTGAATGGTGGTGGGTTAAAGCCTTTTCTCTTTGGGAGTGAAGGTAGGCTACTCAGTTATGCTTCTGAGGGGGGCTGGTGGGGGGGCATCTCCTGGCCAATTAGGATGCAGACTGAGTTCTTTTCAAATCTTTGACATGTATGCCGAAGGAGGTAAAGTTGACTAACACCATGGCAGCATGGAATCTTCAACACCCAATTCTATTATTCCTTTTCCTGGAACCCATGTGGAATGCAAAGATGTCCGGAATGCAGGGCTGAGCAAGGGAATGGGCAATTCGAAACCTCATGAGACTGCTTTCTAATCTGCACTGTCCTCCCAGCATGGTAGCCACTGGCCACATGTGGCTCCTGAGCGCTTGAGATGTGGGCTCTAAGTATAAAATGCATACTGAATTTTGAAAACTTGGCTGAAAATAAAGAATGCAAAACATGTCACCAATCATTTTTAATAATGATTACATGCTAAAATGATACTATTCTGGATAGCTTAGGTTCAGCAAAATATGTTTAGTTTCACTCCATTCTTTTTACTTTTTCATGTGGCTATCAGAACAGGTGTAATTACATGTTTCTTTTGGACAGTGCTGGTCCAGGGGCTGGAGAGTAGTGACAGGTAATGTAGACAAAGGGCAGAGGCATGAGATAAGAGGAGCTAGAGACATGAAGAGGAGGACCATGGAGGGAATGATGCCAGGTAGCCCAGGGAGGCTCTGGTTGTGTATTTCTGAAATCTAAAGTCAAGGAAGTCATACGTAGCTTACTTTGATTTATGTTTGAGGGACACCTCATGAACGGTGACAGCCTGCCCAAAGCATTTACAGTTCTTGGTTCACCTGCAAACAATCT